GGTGCCCACCTTGTCCCGTCATGGCTGCAACCCAGGCTACAGATGAGAAGGAAACAGAGGAGGGTGACTTCTGGTGGACAGCTTGGCATTTAAAGGGAGTGGGTCGGGAAGAGCCAGAGGAGGGCCTGGAGTGAGGAAGGACAGAACCAGAGGGAGAACAGGGAGGGTTTCCTGGAGGAGAGGTCCTAGCAGGTGGGGCTTGAAGACGAGAGCTTATTGCACTGCTGTTCCCAGGAGAGGCAGCCATCCCCTCCTTCATAACCACCTCCTAAAAGTCCACTTCTTCCCAGAAAAATGCCCCAGATTCCCAGCCCCACACTGCTCCCCCGAGCCCCTTGAAGCAGAAGCCCCAAGTGTTTGGGGTGGGGGGTGTCCGGGCAGCTGTAGGGCCCACCCTGCCCCGCAGCAGCCTCCCCCTGGGGAGCTTCAACACTACCCGTCCCCCCCCCCCCCCATTCCTTTAAGAGACCGAGCCTGGGCCTCTGTGGTCCCTCCGCCAGGTGCGCTCTTCCTCCTCCCCTAAAGTGGTTTAATTCTCTGCTTCCTCTCGAGGGTTTCTCTCATCCCCAAGGGGCACGTGGGTCCTCCTCTGGCCCCGTGCTTCCCGCCCCCCGCCCCTGACACCGTGGGTGCTTGTATCGCCCTCCGTGTCTGACTCTCCCACCGGACACGGTTCCCCGTGAGGATCCAGTATTTGTTGACTGATGAATGGCTGGATGGTGGCCTCCCAGAGAGGACAGCATGGGTGCAGAGGCCTGGAGGTCTGACCTGGATGCTGAAGGAACATGGAGAAATCAGGGGGCAGTTGTGGCCCGGGCTCAGGGAAGCAGGGAGGGGCTGCCCGTGAGCAGGCTGTGCTGAGAGTGCCCGGGCCAAGGTCGCACATCCGGCTCCTGGCGCATGCTCCAGGGCCCCCAGGTGCTTTGGCTGTTGCCGGGATATTTTTAGTGCGCACTCTGGCAGAGGCTGGGCCAGACAGCTGTCAGGACGGCTTGTGGGGAGAGGGAGGAAGAAGACAGACACAGAGAAAAGAGAGAGAGGGGAGAAAGAGGGAAACGGAGGGGTGAGACCCCAGGCCCCAACCCCTTCTAGCTATAGATGCGAAAGAGTCAGATGCCCCAGACCAGGAGCTGGCAAGCCACAGCCCAGAGTCCAACTCTAGCCCACAGCCTCTTTGTGTAGTTTTTTAAAATTTATTTTTTATTATTAATTTATTGAGAAAAAGCAGGGGAGGGGCACAGGGAGAGGGGGACAAAGGATCTGAAGCGGGGTCTGGCTTACCGCAGAGAGCCTGATGTAGGGCTCAAACACACCAATCATGAGATCGTGACCCGAGCTGAAGTCAGACGCTTAACCGATTGAGCCACCCAGGCGCCCCGTCCCCTCTTTGTGAAGTTTCACTGAAGTTTTTAATGCAGTCATTTCCATCTGTTCAGCTACAACAGAGACCGTATGGCCCGAAACACTGAAAAAATTTACTAACTGGTTCTACGGAAAGTTTGCCAGCCCCTGGCCAAGACAAAACTCTGTCTTTGCAAGAGGGACCTGTCAGTAATCAGTTGATTTTCACCACTGTTTCTGATTCTCCTCCATCCAGGGAGGAGTGTTCCCTTCAGCCCCAGAGTCGGGCAGTCATGTGACCCACTTCCATCAGCGAAATGACAAGTGGGACTGTCACTTTCTGGTAGGAAGCCCTGACTCACCGTGTTCCTTTCCCGCCTTGCCACCTGATATTCTAGGCAGTAAGAGTCCTGTAATGCTGGGCTCAGCGAGGGTGATGAGCCAACGCCAGAAATCCGAAGGGTAGGGAAAGATCCACCAAGGACGGAGGGCAAAAGCCCAGATCCCGCCCCTGGCCCCGCCCCCTTCCCAGTTTATTAAAATAAAAACACAAAGTGGAGTTATTCATAGGAATGTGAGGATAGATCAGTGTTAGAAAACCTACTAACAGGGTAAAAAGAAAAAAAAAGGTAAACTTATGATCCCCTCCAGGGGTTATTTTGAGGCTCCATTGTTAGGTGCATAAAAGTTCAGAATGGTGACATCTTCCTGGTGAATTAAAAGTTCTGATATGATATTCCTTATTGATATTCCTTATTTCTAAAAATACACAAAAATATAACTTTACTAATGTATGTGAGCTTTCTTTCTTCAGTATTTGCCAGGTTTATTTTTTTCCCTACCTTTAAAGTTTTCAGCATCTACGCATAAATGTTTAGATATTTCTTACAGATGGCTTAAAAACTTGAATTAAAAAAAAGATAACAGTCTGGGGCACCTGGGTGCCTCAGTCAGTTAAGCATCTGACTCTTGATTTTGGCTCAGGTCATGGTCTCACAGTTCGTGAGTTCAAGCCCTGGGTCCGGCTCGGTGCTGACAGTGCAGTGCCTGCTGGGGATTCTCTCTCCCTCTGTCTCTTTCAAAATTAATGAATACACTTGAAGAAAAAAAAAAGTTAACAGTCTGACCATCTTTTGTCTTTTATCTTGACCATTTACATTTATTGTAATCACTAGTAAATTTTATGCATTTCCATTATTTTATTTTGGGCTATCTGTCCCTCCTTCCCTATGGAGGGATTATTTTGGATTATTTCCTTTTCATTCTAATTTTTGCTCCTTCCTAGTTTGGAAGTTATAGACTAGTTCTAGTCTCTTATTATTTACTACAACCATTAATGTTCCTACTCCACTCAACCGGGTAATATGTCACACTCTCCTCAAACAATACAGGCATACCTCAGAGATATTGTGGGTTGCGTTCTAGACCATGACCACAATAAAGCAAATATTCCAATAAAGTCAATCAAATTTTGTGGTTTCCTAGTGCATATAAAAGTTATAGTTACACTGTACTGTAGTCTATTCAGCGTGCAATAGCATTATGTCTAAGAAAATGCACATACCTTAAATAATCACTGATCACAGGTCAACATAACAAATATGAGTCCGAAATACTACCAAGCATTACCAAAACGTGACAAAGTGGAAGATGCTGTTGGAAAAACGGCACTGACAGACTTGCTCAACACAGGGTTGCTCCAAGCCTTCAGCTCGTAAAAATTGCTAGATACAAAGATTTTAAAGCCTGACTCCAATCGGCTATGTTTTGCCATTGTTGTCTAATTTAGACTTTAATCGTACCCATTGGACATTTTAATCCTTGCTAATGAAGGTGATGTTTCTTCACCTCTGCTCAGGCATTTCCCACCTTTTCTGCTGTCTCCTCCTGCGTGTCAGCCCTTCCACCTGGCTCATTTTCTTTCTGCCTGAAACAGTTCCCTCAGAATTTGTTCCAGCGGGGATCTTCACTTCTCTACCATTTCTGTCGGGTGAGCATTTCTGGGCTGCTGCTTTCTCTCAGAGCCTTGAATGTGGTGCCCCTCTGGGTCCTGAGTTCCAGGCTCTGGGTCTGAGAAGCTGGCTTTCCATCCTCAGGCTCGCTTTTTCTTGCTGACTTGGATTTTCTGCGCTGAATCGGCCGCGTCTTTTTATACACCCTGCTTGGGACGCAGTTGGCTTTCTGAATACTGGTGAATTGACGTCTCGCGTTCGTTCTGGAAAATTCTCTGCCTCCATCCTCTTCAGAGTTTGCCTCTGCTCTTTCTCTCTTACCCTCCCTTTTCTTCCCGTATTTGGGCAACACACTCTGCTCCATCTTCTAACTCATCAGTTTTCTCTTCGGAGAGCTCAAATCCATGGTTAGCTGCATCCAGTGTTTGAGACCTCCATTATTTGCTAATTTCTTAGTTATTTTTGGCTCTTCTCCATATGTCTTGCCCTTTGTTCCACACTTCAGGATTAAACGCACTAATTCTGGGTCTAATGATGCTGAGCTGGAAGTCTCTGCTGCCTTCAGGACCGCTGGCTCCCCCGCCACGTGGACAGGTTGAGTTTCGATAGCAGTTCATACGCAGTTCCTGGGACGTGACTAGGGGAGTTCTTTGAATGTTTGTTTATTTTGGACAGAGACAGAGAGAGACAGAGACAGAGCACAAGTGGGGGAGGGGCAGAGAGAGAGGGAGACACAGACTCTGACGCAGGCTCCAGGCTCTGAGCTGTCAGCGCAGAGCAAACACGGGGCTTGAACTCACAGACCACGAGATCACGACCTGAGCTGAAGTCAGAAGCTTAACCGACTGAGCCACCCAGGTGCCCCATGACTGGGGGAGTTCTCGAAGGCTGGGGTTGGAGGCTCAAACAGCAAACTTTCAGGGTCACCACCACCCTGGATGACTTTAAACTGCTTTGTCTACTGCAGGCCTCTGGACACCCAGATACCGCTAGAGCTGCAAACTCAAGCGAGGTCACCAATCATTGGACTAGATTCTACCCCCCCTCTTCCTCCCAACAGACAGGCTGGAGATAACCGAGTTTCCTTTCCATTCCTGGGAAGATCTTATTTTGATTGTGATTTCACCCTTTGAGGTCTTGACGTAACAGACCCACCATCGTGAAGGTCCGTGAAAACGAAAGACCAAACCCAGCCTAACGCAAAAGCTGCCTCCCGCCTCTGTGGACATTCTGGGCTCTGAGTGCTCCTTCACCTCTGTTTGCCCACGGACGCATTCATCAAGATTTAACTCTTTTTACTCGGCAGTTTTCACTGTTTTTCTTGGAAGATCGGCGTGAGAATCTAGTCTACGACGTGGTCAAAAGCAGAAGTTTATAACATTTCTTTCTTTTCTTTTCTCTTTTCTTTTCTTTCATCCCTTCCTTCTTTCTTTCTTTTTAAAAGATTTTTATTGGGGCGCCTGGGTGGCGCAGTCGGTTAAGCGTCCGACTTCGGCCAGGTCGCGATCTCGCGGTCCGTGAGTTCGAGCCCCGCGTCGGGCTCTGGGCTGATGGCTCGGAGCCTGGAGCCTGTTTCCGATTCTGTGTCTCCCTCTCTCTCTGCCCCTCCCCCGTTCGTGCTCTGTCTCTCTCTGTCCCAAAAATAAATAAACGTTGAAAAAAAAAAATTAAAAAAAAAAAAAAAAAGATTTTTATTTTTTAGGTCCTCTCAACACCCAGCGTGGGGCTAGAACTCACAACCCCAAGATCAAGAGTCACATTCTTTACCAGAGGAGCCAGCCAGGCGCCCCCGTGACGTTTCTCATACATGTGTTTGGGGCCCTCTGTGCAGATTCTAGAACTCCCAAGAGGAAGGAGCATGTGAAAACAGCTGGGAATTTAAGAAGGGAAAAAATAAAATTAAGGAGAAAGAACCTGCTAAGCAGCTATTAAGAGACACCAGACTATATACCAGTGAAAATAGAGGGGAGAGGGCCAGAAAAGCTGGTGATGGATTAGAGCAGATGTAGAAACAGACGCAAACCCACTGGGGTCTTAGGGAGGAGGGAGCGTTTCAAATCTGCACCAGGCCCGGGACAATCGGCTGGCCCTTGGGGCTCGGGCAACGCCTCCATCTCTCTTCATGCCCAAATAAGTCCTAGACGGATAAAAATAAAAGTTAACATGAGAAACACAGAGAAAACACCATGGGAGAACTTGTGCCAGCCGCGAGGAAGACCTTTAAAGATTGTGGTTTGAAAACCATGAAAACAAAATGCTTACAGAAAAACTGTTCATAAAGTGGAAAGATGTGGGGGGGGGAGGGAAACAAACTCACCGCACAAGAGCTTAATGGTTAAGATGGTAAATCTTACGTGTTTTTTAGCACAATTAAAAACCTTCTCACGTTTCTTGAGAAAGTAGAGTTGTGACGTATCAGTGAGAAGAAACACCTATAATAAAACAGTGGAAGCAGCCAATTAAACAATTAATACCAATGCGAAACCCTCCCTGGTGATAATCGAAATGGAGAATTGGAGGCAGCACCTGCCACAGGGCAGTCTGGCCAAAATGTCACCTCGGGCAGTGTTATAAACAGCGGCCCGCCCCCAGGCCCTGAGCGAAGAAGCCCACCCTTACCGCAACAGGAAAAGGCAAGACAAAGGGCCGTAACCCTAACCCGCATGCTTTGCGAAGGACACGCCTGGCGGGGGGGCGCTCGGATCCCAGCACTTCCGCTTTCCCAGTAAACGGACAGAGGGCGCAGGGTCACAGACCCAGGTCCCAGGCGCTGGGGAGCTCCCCAGGCGGCTGCCGCACCTGTCCCGGCCAGGTGCGCATTGACCTTGGTCGCGGCCTCAGCGACGGTGCCCTTGTGGGCCCTGTCCCTGTGGGCGCCCACGCAGGTTCCCTTGGCGTCCACCTGCCCTTCCTGATGCCCGGCCTTGCCAAGTCCCGACATCCCACAGGAAGACCGCCAGACGCCGGTTCGGTGGCTCCCACACGAAGCAGTCAGGTCCCACAAACCAACCCTTGGTAGGCAAGACGTGTCCCTGGCTGCTGCGGCCCTGCCAGCTCCAGACGGAATTGTGTGCCCCCCTGTGGGGTAAGGCCAGTTTGTTTCCTTCTTGTGATGCGAGTGCGGGACGTAAGCTTTGATTGCCCAGGCATCCTCTTCAAAGATGGTAGCTGGAATGAACCTACTCGCCAGCCACGCCTCTAGAGAAAGAGGCTGCCTGCCCCGACTGTGGCTCCTTGTTTTAGAGGTCTTGGTTGATTTTGGTAACTGGCCTTTCGGGCCACTCGTTTTGTTTTGTTTTTGCTCCCTCCCATCGCTTTAAATTCCCACCGGGAGGTTTTAAGTTTACCAAGAAACAATGGGCCCTGGAAACCCTGGGCTCCCATCCTGGACCCAATAAGAGCAGAGGCCCAGCCAGTGACCAAGCAGCTCTGTCTCAGTCCCCCCTCGCCCCTCTCACTATGTGGCCCTGGGGGCGCTGGGTGATCTCCAGGTCTGGTAAGTGAGAAACCTTTATTTTTTTTCAGTTTCCCGATGGGTGTCCGGAGGAAGGGCGTCTTGTAAGCAGAACCACAAAGGCCAGTCCAACCACGACACTAGTCATCGATCAGCTGAGCCCTAACTAGTGCAAAACACCCCCTCATTTCCTATGCGTGAGCCCCACTCCCCTTCGTGATGGTGTCTGGAGGGGGTCGCTTCGGGAGGGGGTTAGGTCGCGGAGGCCAGGGGGGTGGGGGTCCCATCCCGGGGTTGGTGCTGCCGAAGGAGGGGCCGTGAGAGGATGTGCCCCCACGCCCCCTCCCTGTCCACGCGGGGACACAGCCAGAAGGCAGCCATCTGGAAGCCGGAGGGCCCGCCCTCGGCCGACCCCTGGCACCCTGGTCTCAGCCGTCCAGCCTCCGGAGCTGCGGGAAGGAAGCGTCTGTCGGGGAAGCCGCCTGGTATTGTGCCACAGCAGCCTGGACGCGCCGAGCCGGGGCCCGAGACGGCCGGAGGAAGGAGTCTGTACCAGGACACCTACGCGACCACGCACAGGGACTCGGGCCACCGTGTGGGGGGAAGCGAGCCGTGTGCCGACCAGCTCAGAACATCTCCCGGGACCGTTACAAGGTCCCACACACAACAGTTCATTCTTGCAGTTCTGGAGGCCCAGCTCTGAAATCAAGGTGTGCACAGGGTCGGTTCCTTCAGAAAGTTCTAGGGGAGAATCACTCCTCACCAGCTTCTGGGGCTGCAGCATTCCTTGGCTGCGGCCCCATCACCCCATCACCCCAGTCTCTGCCTCCATCTCCGCGTGCTCTTCCCCTCTGTGTCACCTCCTCTGTCTCTTATAAGGACACGCGTCATTGGACTTAGGGCCCATCCAGAGAATCTCAAGAGCCTTCACTTAACAGTCACACTCACAGATATCAGGTGTCAGGGCTCAGATGTACGCTTTTCGGGTCGCCGTTCAACCCAGGACGCAGGGCACCTCGTCTAACGTTCTAGCTAGGTTATCTCCACGCGTGCAGAGAGCAGGCAAGGGGTTCTTCGGGAATGGATGTTTTGTAATCTCTGGGTTCCAGGTTCTCCTCTAAGACCTCCCTGTGGCATGTGACTCTCCTGCCACCAGCATGAGGTATCTCTAGGAACGGAGAGTGACCTGTTCTATCGCTTCGGAGCACGGAGCCTGGGGTTCCAGTCTCACCCCGTCCCTGGCCGGTTTGTGTGGCAGAGTGGAGTCCGGCTGCCCTCAGGGGTTCCAGCTTCCCCGCCAGTAAAAATCGGCCTCTCACGCTTGCCGGGTCGGGCCGGAGGGCCGCGGTCAGCGGCGGGCACCGGCTGCCGGCGGTCACTACCGGAAAGGCACACCCCCTCCCCGGGCCTGGCTTTTGCGGCCTGCGACACGGAGGCCGGAGCACGCCTGACCTGGGGGCCGACACGGCGGCGATGACCGTCCCGGAGGCTGCCAAGTCTCCCGCCAGCGGAAGGAACTGAGGCCACAGCCGGGTGGAGTACCTGGTTTATTTGTGACGCAGGTGAATCTCAGGGTCGGGGCGGATGCCGGGCTGCGGGGGCGGGTGTCAGGCGCCGAGCTAGAACTCGACCTTGCAGGCGGGGAAGGCCTCGTCCTGCATGGACACGGTGCTGTTGCTGCCCAGCACGGTGATGCCCAGCGCCTGGTGCCGGGCGTGTGTCTCCTCGTACCACTCGTGCATGGCCGCGGAATCGAAGGTGGGGATCAGGGTCACCTGTGGGTGGGACAGACGGGCTGACGGTGAGGGGGAGCACCTGTGACCTCTGGGCCCAGGCCCCTGCTCCACCCTCGGCATCTGAGGCCCTTCTTCTCTGACCACAGTTGCTCTGCTTCCCTTAGCTCTCGCCTGGCTGTCTGCACCCGCCCATCCCTGAGGTCCTTTCCTGTCCCCACGGCACCCAAAGGACCCGGGCCCCTCTCCGGCTCCTCCCTCACACACACCAAGTTTGCCCTACCTCCACCCGGTGCCCGGAACCCTCCGTCCTGGCTCCCGACAAGCTGTGGGGTGGGAGGGGGTGCGGGGGGGGGGGGGGACAGGGGCTGCGCATGCTCCCTGAGAGGCTGGGCGTCGGCACCTCACATGCCGGATGGGTGGCCAGGCACCTTCAAGGATGGGCTTTAAGGCTTCCTTGGGGGACAGCCCCAGCCCACAGGATCAATTCTCAACTTTCGCAGCTACGTGGACACCTCGCCTATTCCTCCTGGCCAATTCTCGTGACTGGGATGGTTAAGAGCCCAGGAGTCAGGGAAGCGGATCAAACCGGGCCCGTCCTGCACCCTCATCCAGGCTGCTCCAGACGGAGGGGACAACGGGAACAGAGTCCTGAGAGCTGGTGGGACCCATGAACCTGCCTTCATTTCCGTGGCCTTGGGGACACAGCTCGGGCTCTCTGAGCCCCACTCCCTCTCCTGTGGGCGGGTGAAGGTCACACAGACCTCCCAGGACTAAGTTCAACAGGAACACGCCAGGAGGTGTGCGGCCTGACCTCGTGCCAAGACTGTCTGGGACCCCGGGGTGGTCACGCACCTGGAGGTCACGGTCCCATTGCTGCTTGCCGGCCAGCAGTGCATCCAGGACAGCCCTCATGCCCTCTTCCTTGCGCTGGTCCTGGCCACTGATGACATAACAGAGCGCACGCACCCTTCGGAAGAATTCCTCGTCCACCAGCCGGGCGCTGCTCCCGCTGGGCAGGTAGGCCAGGTCGAGGTAGACGGGGGAGCCGGGAGGGGCTGCTGACCCACCTGGCCGGCTGCCAGCTGACCCTGCGGGCAAGAAGGACGGGGTCAGACCTGAGCTCCTGGGACCCAGGGCCTGGGAAGGGGCTCCCACCTCTGTCTACATCTCTCTGAGTGGCTCCCTCCTCAAGGAGGACGCCTGATCTCACTATCTTAAAGCTCTCCTTGGCATGGGAAGTTACTCAACGAACTCTGCAAAGACCCCTGGCCATATCCTCAGTGCTTGGACCCTCCCTGGCTGGTCCCTGGACACAGACATGCCCAGGGCCAGAGGTAAGGAGGGTAGGAGGAGGCAATCAGGGAGGGCTTCCAGAAAGACGGGGCTTTAGAGCTTAAGCTCCCAAGGCAGCCAGTATCTAGAACAATCTGCTGCTTCTGCAGCATCCATCTGCTCAATTACTCAAAGGGCATTTATCAAGTCCTCCCGGGCATTAGGCACTGGGGACGTGCCAGTGACCCAGACAGACAAAAATCCCTGCCCCCAAGGGCAATGGGGAGACAGAGTGGGTGTGGGAAGGACAGAACTGCAAGAGGGAGACTGGACGTGGCATTGCTTTCAGAGCCTCATGCGTGGCCCTGAACCTAGAGCTTATGCAAAGGGGAATGAGGCCACCGGTCCCAGGCGAGTGTCTCATAATCATAATCAATTGAGGACAAATCGGGATCTGAGGCACGGGAAACTGGCCAGATGCTTGACATCTCTGGACCGTAAACACTGCCTGGCTCAGGGCGTGGGCCCAGAGGGCTGCCGCGGCATCTGCGGGGTGAGTGAATCCCCTAGCTTTGGGCAGGCGGCATCCCTCACTCATAGCTGGGAACAGTGGCGGTGAGGATCTTAAGTCTCAAGAAGAGAAAGCCGCCACGGCCGTGACGAGCCCAAGGGAGACAGGAGCAGCAGAGGCGGAACAGCCAGACAAGGGGAACATGGGCAGAGGCCGCAGGACAGGAGGACGGGGTGGGGCAGGGTCCGGCCAACTACAGCAGCGCCTGCTTTCGTAAACGCAGTTTTACCGGAACGCCCTTTGGGTTCCATACGAAGCTGCTGTTCTGCCGCGGCACGGAGTCGAGTTGCTGGGACAGAGACCACCTGGCCTGCAAAGCTGGCAACGTTTACCCTCTGGCCCTTTTAAGACACAGTCTGCTGACACTAGCAGAGGGTCAGTCTGTCCGAGGCAGCGGGAGAAGGAGACCCTCAAGGGGCCAAACGCCCAGGCACACAGGGGCTCGGATGATTCCCAGCCTCCAGGTGCCAGCCTCGGCCACAGGCCTGGGTAGCCACTCTGGGCTGGGGACCCCTGAGCTGCTAGAGCTCGCAGGGGCCCATCAGGTGTCTCCCCCGGAAAGTGCCCAACGAGGATCAAGAGGGGGCAGCTCAGGGGGGCACCGAGGCTGGGAACTAACGACAAGCCACGGGGCGAGAGAAGCCTGGGACATCGGTCAGCTTCCGGAGGGCAGGGCCACCGAGGCACCTGCAACCGGTGAGCACGCACTCAGGGACGCCAGCTCAAGTCATCACCGCTGCTTTCCCCCCACCCCTGGTACTTCCAGGCCCGCAGTGCCCTCCGCCGTGGTCACCGAGCACCGGAACGTGGCCGGGACGGGCTGACACGAGCTGGGGTTCGGTGCAAAGCGCACACCAGGCACCCAAGACCCGGCGTGGCCACCAGAAGGGGAATTAGCTAGTCATCTTTCATACCGACGGCATGTGTCGGAATATCCTGCGACCATCGCACGCGTACAGAGTGTGAACGCGGCAGGACGACCCGGGGGATGACGGTGCAGCTGGGAAGCACCGGGAATCCGTCCCCCCTCCAGACAAGACTCGTGCGGGCGGGCAGCCTCTCCCTGACCTTCCAGGAGATCGAGACAACGGGAACATTTTTTTCTCCTTTTCTCCCATCTACCCCTCCCCACTTCATTTTTCACTTTTTCCCCTTTTTTTTTTTTTAAATTTTTTTTTCAACGTTTTTATTTATTTTTGGGACAGAGAGAGACAGAGCATGAACGGGGGAGGGGCAGAGAGAGAGGGAGACACAGAATCGGAAACAGGCTCCAGGCTCCGAGCCATCAGCCCAGAGCCTGATGCGGGGCTCGAACTCACGGACCGCGAGATCGTGACCTGGCTGAAGTCGGACGCTCAACTGACTGCGCCACCCAGGCGCCCCTACTTTTTCCCCTTTTAAGGAGCCAGACACGTAAGGACTAAGCCGTTCAAAAGCCACCGCATGGAATCATCCTCTACGCCTGAAACTCACATAGCTGTTAACTATACTGGAATCAACATTAAAAACTTAGTAATAAAAAAAAAAGCGCCACTGTATATATGGGAGATTTGGGAAAATCACCACACACACCCAGAAAGGTGCAGGCTCATGAAAACAGAAACAGCACATGATAATTAAACAAAGAAAGGGCGCCCGGGGGGCTCCGTCGGTGAAGCGTCCGACTTCGGCTCAGGTCACGATCTCGCGGCTTGTGGGTTCGAGCCCCGCGTCGGGCGCTGGGCTGACAGCTCGGAGCCTGGAACCTGCTTCCGATTCGGTGTCTTCCTCTCCTCTCTGCCCCTCCCCCGCTCACACTCTGTCTCTCTCAAAAATAAACAAACATTAAAAAAAAAAAAAATTAAAGAAGCCACACAAACCTTCCCCCTGGGGAAGGGGGAGATTTGGATCTCCGGAGTTAACACATTATTAAACTCAAATGTCCAGTTTTCAACAACAGCAGAAATCACAAGGCAAACAAAGAAACAGGAAAAGTATAGCCCAAGGTAAAAAGAAAAAAAAAAGAAAAAAAAAATCAACAGAAACCACTCCTGAGAAAGGCCAGATGGTGGGCTTACTGAACAAAGACTTTAAACCAACTTAAAAATGCTCACAGAAAGGAAGACATGCAAGAAAACGTTGTGTGAATAAAAACGGAAACATCACTAAGGGCAGAGAAAATTTAACAACAAACCAAAAGAAGATCCTGCAGCTAAAAAGTACAATAACCGAAATGAAAAATTCACCAGAGGAATTCAATTCATGATGTGAACAGTGATTTCTGATAGGACAATAGCAATTACCAAGTTCGAGGAACAGGGAGAAATAAGGCCCGAAGAAAGTGAACGGCAGCCTGAGGGATTTGTGAGACACCATCGAGAGGGCCGACATACACATGTGGAGTCCCAGGAGGAAAGGGGCAGAATGATTATTTGAAGAAATAATGGCCCCACGCTTCCCATGTTTGATGAATGGCGTTAGTAAACGTCCAAGAAGCTCAACAAATTCCAAGTAGGATGACACACATTGAGACACACGAATAGTCCGACTGCTGAAAGAGAATCTCTCTGAGAGAGAGCAGAGATAAAAGGCAAGTTTCTATGTATAAATGTTTATATTAAAAAAGAAGATCTCCATGCAACAACCTAACTATTAACCTAAGGAACCAGAAAAGAACAAAAGTAAATCTGCAGCTAACAGAGGAGAGGAAATGATAAAGATGAGAGCAGAGATTTTAAAAATTGAGAATAGAGGGGTGCCTGGGTGGCTCAGTCAGTTGAGCGTCCGACTTTGGCTCAGGTCATGATCTCGCAGTTCTTGAGTTCGAGCCCCGCATCGGGCTCTGTGCTGACAGCTCAGAGCCTG